CCCCTGCGCGTCACATATGTGACGAACCACTTCCCGACCCCGTGCCATCTTTCGTACCCTTTCTTTTGCTTGTATCATACCAACCCCAAGAAAACCCCGTTTTGAGTTCATGCTTTCGGGTGCCGCATTTTCCTTTTTGAGAGTTTTTTCGACTGCTGAGTTCTGTTTTTCTTCTTGCAAAGTCGGGAAATACATGGGAATTTACGTGCGCCTTAGCGAGCGCACTGGAATTGGGCTCGGTAGTTGGGAATTCCAGGCTAAGCGGAACTTCGACGTGTCTTTTCTGGGTGTGTGAATGTTATTGGGCGAGTCGGGGAAAACTCTCGGAATTTTGCGTGAATACGAATAGGCGTAGGATTTTCTTTTCCCGCGTCACTTTTTCGCGCGCGGATATGGTGATTTCAATTTCAAATTAGGATAGAAGCAAGCTGTAACTGTTTCGGTGCCTTTTTCTTTTTTTGTTGACAGCACCATGCATGCAAAAGCTTCCTCCTCTTTGTCCCTCGCATCGCTCCCTCTCGCGCCTCCCTTCCCTTCTGCCTCTTTTTTTCTCTCTCCCCGTAACTGTTTTTCCTTCTCCCTCTCTCTCTCTCTCCCGCCTTGCTTTCGCACGCCCATTTCCCTTTCTTGATCATCTGAATTTTTGACCCGTCTTGCACCACCTCTCGCGCCTTTTCTCTTCTCACCCTCTACGTCTGGCGTACGACGCCCGGTCGATTCCCCGATAACTCCCGCTCGCCAATCAGGTGCGTGGATCGATAGGACCTTCCTATCGCGCGACGAATCTGATTGGTTGAACCTTGAGTTCCGAGGGATCAGCATGGCGTTCGTAGAGCACTCTTCTCAAAGTCTTCTCCTATTGCTTCTCCTCTTACACCTCAGCTTTTTTGTCGCTTTCTCCCCCTTCTATCTCCCCTGTCGCAACTATAAAACTCACAAGCGCGTCCGCAAATCTCTCTTACGTTCTTGACTCTCAAGCCAGATTTCGGGAAGCAGTGGCTAGGCAGAGTGTTTGAAGCGAGTCGGAAAGTTATGTCGGGCTGACGATAGACTGGCCGGTTCGCCACGACGAACTATGGGATCTGGGTGAACCGTGTCGAGTTTACGACAGCGGGGTGACGATCGCAGTGGTGGGAGTTAGCACGCGACGGCCGGGATCGTCGGTGCGGGTAGGAGGTTCGATGATTGGAGTTGAGCGAGTGATTGGCCCGGGGCCATAGTGGAATTAACGGCGAATGCGCCTTTGTTGTGGATTGTTATCTTTGGCGTAAGTGTACGGCGGTGACGCC